TTTTTAAAAAAAAACCAATAAACCAAACAATTTTTATTAATGAAATAACTTCAAAAATCCACACCTTTAAGACTCTTCAATCTCACCCAAATGGTTCAAAGATTTAATCTATAGTATGCAATAAACAATAAAATTGTAAAATTAACCAATGGAGATAAAATGGGTGCGATTTTAAGCCTTAATTCATTTATCGCTCCTAAATCCTAACTAAACCCTAAAATTTAAGAAATCCTTGTTCCCCCTTCCCTCCTTTCCCTCCCCCTTCCCCACTCGATCTCCTCCTCCCCCTCCACCTCCTTTGTACTTATTTATATTAAATTTATCATAGGCTCATAGGGAGAGAATTCAGCAAATTAAGAAGCTAATCCAATATGATAAACTGATAGGAGTAGAAATGAATCCTATAGTTTTTATGAATATAGATACATCAATTCAAGGTATCAACGAGCACACAACTGAAATATCTAGGCATTTTCATAATATCAAAAATAATTTTTAGAGACCGATAGATCGAGTATTTAATTCAAAATTACAAAGTTACTCCTAAGAAATTGGAATCTAACATTACATGCATCATATAGAAACTATTAAAGTTTGAAAAGATATTTATAATACTTCTTACATCCATTTGAGAGAGCTAACAAAACATAATAATCTTTTGTCGACCTTCCAATAACTGTAATAGATCGATATTCTGATAATCCTACCAACAACTAAAGAACCTAAGACGACCAACATAAAAAGAGCATCATAAACCTAAAAACACTAAACACTTAGCTGACAATACCTACTAATCAACAAGAAAAAGGAGAGCCAATTTATCTTTCACATCACTAACAATATACAGATTTTTTTTTTAATGGAGTATGGTGTAATGCAATGATACTGGCAAACACGACACCACTACAGCAGTAAGCCAACAACAATATCTCAAATTACCTACAAAGTTCATTGGTGCTGGCAAATGATCATCCTTTAGGATCCAAAGTTGAGCACCGATATCGCTACGAATGGTTTGAATTATCTGACCACCTTTACCAACAATACATCCAATCTGATCAAAAGGGACAAGCATGTGAGCAGTAACATGTTGATTACCTTCAGCCTCATCGCAACACCAGCATCCTCGGCAATCACTCTGTCATGCACTCTAGAGAAGAGTGCATCCTGGACAGACCTGACAATCCATTTCATCAAAGGCATTTGCTTCATCACTTGGACTAATCGTCTCAACTCGCTCATCACATCCAGGCACAGTCTCGCCAATTCTGATCTACGATTTAGTGTCCAATGACCTATAAAGCAAAAGGGTAACAACGTTCAATTGATATATCTCGTGAATATGGACCCTGCCATAATGTAACAACTCAAAATGCAACTAAACCTCGAAATAGAACCACTTAAAACATTGAAATTTTAAAGAACGACCATACTCATCTTTTAAATTGAGCTTATGCCAAAACAACATTTAGCTTAAATAAGTATGGTTACAGTAGTGCTATACGATACAAAGCTTTTTTCAATGTGTCTCATTACTGCTATTATTCATATAGAGACAGAAGAAGCACCAAAGATACATAAGTTCACATCGCCTGGTAACTTCTTGAGAACGATTTTGCGGCCATTATTATTTGGTTTACAACAAACATTCCCGTAATATGTTTTTAGCTTTCAGTTATATTCGAACAAAGTAGGTTTGTTAATATGTTTCTTCATCACCCATATCACATAAAAATAATAAAAATAGACTATAAAAAATAAGAGTTACAAAAATAGACTACAATCAAAATAGACTATGGTATGTTTTTGTATCACCTATATCACAGTCCAACCATTAATAGTGAGAGTAATATAATAAAATTTATTTTATAGTCATTAATACTATAAAACTAAAGGTGGTAAGGTACTAAACCTCGAAATTGAACCCCTAAGAACTGCCGTGTATCATCTCTTTCATATACCTTCCTTTTCCTTATCTCGTTTCTCCTTCTTATCCCTCTCCCTTTCCCCCTTTCTTGTTCCTTCTTCCTTCCTTCCACTCCCTTATCTCATCTCTCCTTCCTGTGACTTTCTTATGAATTCTGGAATTATCTACATTCATATACAGCATTCCCCACACTCTTAAAGTAATTTTTCTCTCTCCATATCTCCTCTCTACCCTACATCCTTCCTCATCCTCCCCTCCCTCGCTCTCATACTCGCCTTTTCTCATTTACTCTATCCCCTCCTCACTCCTGCTTCCTCACCTCCTTAATCTTCCATGCCTTCTCTCTGCCCTACACGACTTCTTAGCTATATGTGGTTCAAATTTTGACAAATAGCTAACAGACCTTGTATATAGTTGTTGGACATTTAATCCCTGCCAAAACAGGAAAAATGTATAAGAAAATACATAACGAGGATTAGTCTGCAAAATCCGACAGGCCAAAACGAAGAGCTACACAGGGTATACTTACAACAGCTTCTATGTATGAAGGAATAAATTTGACACCTTCCATGAAAATAGTCGCTAGGGGCTAAAATTATAAAGGTTATAACTGTTATTATGGAGAAGAGTGTAATATTGTCCATTGATTCTTGTCAAAGAAAATAATTGAAATCAACTCAAACTCTCAAACATTAATCAAATAAATGATTAAGAATATCAATAAGTTGTATGTACTGTGCAAAATAGAGAAAACTACTTTTACACAAAGCAACAAAAAAAGGTCAGACATTCCTGTAGACACCTGATTGTGTCTCCCCAAAAACCAAACCCAGTGATGAGTACCTTTCACGTCTTTGATTACCGAGTTAGGTGAAGAGTGAAGAGTCTTGTGAATTTCCCTTTAGCCTTGACCATTTCTAACCTTTCCTTAAATGTTTTAATCCAAAATCATTCATTTCGTGTCTTTGAAAATCATTCATTTCGTGTCCTCTTTATAAAACTTCTAAAACAGATTATTTTGGTCCATAATCCTGGTCCAATTATTGTTTAGTTGGATGGGGCTTGAAAAGCGCTTTCCAACGACATATTATAAGCCCAAATCCGACTTATAACGAAGAAGTTATGACCAAAATACTAAACCAAGCCTGAACCAAGCCTTACCTACGATCCAATGATCATGTGGAGGGTCCAAATACCTTAATCCCAATCCTAAATAAATTAGGATTTATTAGGAGATTTTAGAAGTCTCTAAAAGGTTCTAATTTATCCTTTCCCCGAAAGATAAAGATTAAAGAATTTGATATTGAATAAAACATCTCTATTTTGATAATCCTAATCCCGGTCAAAACTGAATTTCGTGCCTCATAATTTTTATCCAAATCTTGGATGGTTGGATATCCCTTGAAATTATCTTTCCAATGATATATCATAATCGCAATTCCGAGCTATAACGAAAAAGATATGATTAACATACCAAACTCTATTCAAAACTGACACTTTTCCACTGTTTCAATCATATCTTTTATTCTACAAAATATATCAATTTTATTCTAATTGGGTTGGAAAGTAGACTTCTAGATCTTTCCAACGATATATTATTTATCTTATTCCGATTTTTTGGATCAAAAGTTATGATAAAAACAAAAATCGCAAAATTGAAGGATCATCGCGCCGCGATGGACTTGTCTCGCCGCGACAAAGCTGTCGCTCCGTGATGGAATCTGTTTTACTTTGATTTGATTTCTGACTCTTTTCTGGTCCTTCGACCCTCTTTTTCCTGTCATCTCTCCCCATTTTCAACCACCAACAATCATCATCAAGTCCCTTCTTTAATACTTTCTCTCTCTCTCTCGATTCTTTTTTTAGCCTAGCCTAAACAAGTCCTAATACATCCTTAATACTTTTCCCTTATCTAACACCATACCTCCATCACGAGCTTCGAATACTCCTAGCTAATCTCGAAGTTGCCTTCGACTTCGACGTGAAACGTTGATAGTTTTGAAGGTTTGGTCCCAAATCTATATTTCAATTCTTATTTAATTTATTTTGGTTTATTTGATTTGATCTTTCTTGAAGTTACTAACGTGTTTATTGTTTTGATAGAAAGAGATACGAGGCATCAAAGTAAGTAATTCGATTATTTAATTATTCTTTTGATATAGAAATCATGTTAGGATGTTGTTTTTAATTCCTAGTATCATGTTTAGGGTGTTAATTAATATTCCTAATATCATGTTGGTTTCTAGTATCATGTTTAGGCTAATGTTTTGATTATGATTTTTATTAGTGATATGCTAGGGTTTATTGTTAATCTGTTTAGTATCATGCCTAGGATCTTGCTATTAATCATGTTTTGATGAGATTATGATTATATTGATTATGATGTTTTGATTATGATGATGATTGTTGTGTCAATTACTATGTTGCTTGATTATTGTTATTGCTTGATCACGCCCCTTCTTGCAGTTTTAAAGGGAATTTGTACTTGAAATCACGTCTAATAAGATAATTAATAATTTGATTTAGGCTTAATATGATTTTAACTCAAGTGATCACCAATAATAGATTTGATTGTACATTAATTATCAACCAACTTAGATTAAACAAGTTTAGGGCTAATTTGATGTATGTATGTTGGTCGAAAGACGCACATGAATATCATAAGAATTAAGTAGAGGCTGATTTAGGGCGGGTTCAATCTTTTTTAGGTTGGATTCGTACCATTATCCCCGAATATCGAGTCATGGTTCCGGACCACCATAGAGTTAGCGATCTCCGTGATCGTGAATGGGGTGTAACCTTCACACCCGTGAACGGTTTACAAGTTCCTAAAACTTGTTGACGACTCTTTTATCTCTAGCTTCCTTCCCTTTGGACGCCACCATGCTTAAAGACATGATCACAGTGGGGCTGAAGGTTGAGTTTGAAAAATTCTCTACAATTCCCCATAATGAAGCTTTCTCAGCATGGAAGAAAAACTAATACAGAAGCAATAAATAAAAGGAATTACCTCTATCTTTACCATGACCTCCTTGCTAAGGACATTACGCGATTGGTTTGTCACATTGAAAGCCATAGAACTCCAAAAACCAGCCCTTCATGAAAACAAAAACATATTAAGCAAATGGTTCAGATAATACTCATGCTGAAAACCCAGCGGGATCCTTGGAAATAGAAAGCACAAAATCTTGTCAGAAAGTTATCTCACTGACCAGTTAAAAGAGGCTTCAGTCACAGATGCAAGAGCCACCCCTCCAACAATGGGAAGAAGTGAAAGTACAACCCAAGGAGTGGGATTCTGCAATGAAGGATACTGAAAATTAACCCACAAATAAACCAAATCACTAAAATAAATACTTCAACCATTGGCTGAACTATGGCTTATCCTACATCAGAGAATCTTTCACATTTCAACAATTCTATGTATATAAAAATGAACAAATGAAAATTATGTGAAATGTACCTCCCAAAAAGGCAGCAGACAGTAAAACAAGAGAAAAATGGCTCCATAGCTTTGATAGTGTGATAGAGAACAACAAACGTATACCTCAGACAATCTCAACAAAGCAGCAAGCAGTCGCTAAAGCAAAACAGCTACATCAAAGTAGCCTGAAACGAGCAATTCAAAAGACTAAGCACGATTAACAAAAAAAAAAAAAAAAAAAAAAGGGAAACAAACTCAGCTCTTTTCTTGTTCATAATACAGCAGCTATCAACTTGTTCATAGCACAAGTCACTAACCTTTTTTAATCAACCATAATTAGAGCATCCCAAAGAAGGGCATGTTTATTTATAGTCAAGTCATTTTGCTATTCACTACATACAGGGGCGGACCCACGTGTAGTCATAGTGTGTCATAGGACAACCTATTATTTTATAAAAAAATTAAACACTAAATGTCAAGAAGTTCAGCTTGCAGCCTAGTGGTTTTTTTACCACCCATCACACGCGAGATGTGGGTTCAAACCCCATTACTGACATTTTTTTTTTTTTTTTTGCTTTATAACCTCACACCCAATTTTCAACATTTAGAAATTAAAACTTGGGATTCAGAACATTTCCCCCAAATTGTAAAACCCTAAGTCTCTAACTCCCCTAAATCGAAATCCCCAGACCCCACCCGCAGGCCCGTAGCCCCGCCACCGTTCACCAGCCAATTTAAGCTCCGTACTCCGTCACTCCATTTTCTCACCGTCGCCAATATATGGTTCGTCCGTCAATGTCAATCTGTGGCTCATACTTTGTGGAAAATCAATACTTTGATGTATGTTGCTCAATTACAATCCATTGTCGCTTCTGCTGCTCACAAATTTCCCGATCTTCTTCTCTGTTTTGATCTTCTCTCTGATCTCATTTCCGCCATTAATGACGAACCTAAGGTTCCATTTCTTAATTTTTTTTCTCCTTTTTATCTTTTTTCTACTTGATTAGATCTATGTTGCTGCTAATTGTTCAAAATCATGGAATTTCAGCATGTTTAAGTTTGTATTGCAATCAATTTAATTATTTTTAGGTTGTTTAAGTTGAATTTTGAGAATTCTAGTTGCAAATTATACTGGCATTTGGATTGTTTTAGAGAATTATTAAGTTTTGATTGGGAATTCTTGCTTAAATTATGAATGGGCTTGATATGGATTGAATTAGGAACCTATTATGTATTTATGTTATGGCAAAGAAAATGTGAAAATGCATTGTTTTCGCTGCTGGTTTTGGGTGGGCGGAGGCCGGTGCGGCACTTGACATAGTTAGCTATGGTTAAAATTATCTGGAAAGGAGATCCTAGTTCGATATACTCAAGGGCTAGTGCTCTTCAAGGGTTTCTTGCTGACCATTCACATGCAGGAGGGTGGTTTTGGTGGTGGTGTAGGAGGAGGGGGTGGTTGTTGGGGCTGGGCTGGGAAGTGGCTGTTGGGCTGGGTGGGGAATTGTTTAATTAATTTTTTTTTAGAAAAAAATAGACCATTCACATGCAGACACGTGTCAAGTAACCTGCTTTTTTTATGTATTTTTTTTGCTAATCATACAAGCTTTGACTATTTTTTAATATTATATACGGTCAATAGACGATGATGGGACAACCTATTACTCAAATCCTGGATCCGCCACTGACTACATAACCTGAAACTGATATCTCCATCATGATCTATTTCAAACCCTTAACTTATAAGACCCGAATTTCCCAAAAATAACCTAAAACATACATCACCACCCAAAACAAGCATCACATATACAAAGCAAATTAAGTCCTAAAATGTATTCAAAACTAATTAGTCATCAGCAAACAATTTTAAACCAAATCAGCGGAGACACGTCAAAAGAAGCCAAATTTTTAGCACCTGCTAATATAAGTACAATGTACAAATTTAAGAGTTTTGATGTACAAGCCATTCAAAGTCAATTGCAAGTTCAGTTTTGGCAAATGTCAGCTTTAGACAATTAACTAAATGGTTTGACATGCATTATAGGCATTGTACTTACATATAGCTTTTGACCATAACATATTAAGCTTTTTCAAAAATTAATTACATATTGAGCTTCCTTTATGGTAACCATGAAAAAATTGTGAAAACTTTTCACTTAAGTCAGTCAATAATAAACAAGCCCCAAAATTATTAATTGATCCTTTACAATGAATCCTTAAGATTTCATAACCAATACAAATTCATAATGTGAGAATAAAACTATATAAATTTAGTTCTCAAGCCAATGAGCCTCAATAACAATACAATCAAGTGGAATACACTTGTGTACATCAACTCGCCTCAGCTTGTCTAGAGAGCAGATACTCAGTTCGTTCAATTCAAAGCATTGTATCTCTATTAGCCTTAAGTCCTCAATCATAGGGCAACCAGAGATCAGATTTTCGAACTGCAGCAGGGAGACTTCCATATTCTTAAACGATAACTTCTGGAGATGCGGAAGATTTACTGAATAGGCAGGTATAAGACACCCATATAAGCTTAATGCAGTAATGGAACTTCCACACATGACACACGGAGGCAAAGTGAAGTACTGTAGTCCTGACCGATGCCTAGCTTTGGCGTGGACTTCAAGTTCTATAACATTCCTCGCAATAGCAGAAACAATCCAATCATTTACATCAGAATTCTTTACATCCCATTCCCATAAATAAGAAAAGCACAACCTGAACTTGTGAATACTATGCAATTGCTCATCATGCAGCCGATTAATTATCTGATCTTTGTATTATTTCTTTATAACTTTCTTCACCTTGTCGAAGCTACACAGGTCAATATCCACAGTATGATATGAATTCCATACTTGCCTCCATCTCTTAGACATGATGCACGTTCGAGCAGCATCCTTGGGATGGAGGTGATAAAGAACTTGATGAAGCACATGATCCGGCATGTCAGAAATATAGTCAATTCTACGATTCACTCTCTTTCTTACTCTATTAGCAGAGGCCCTTTTGCTTCTTTTCTTACATTTCTTAGAAGTAACATCCATTGAACCGTTCTTCTATACCAATTTATGCATATGTTCCCTAAAAAAGGTCGACGGATGTTAATCTAAAATCTGCGAAGAATTACCGAAATATATAGCTAAATTCAATTTGTCAAATTCACCAGTTTACATCATTAATCACAGGAAAGTAGGACGTAGGAACACAACATGAATTCGAAACATATAGTATTATGCTGAAGCAGAGACTGTAATCATCCCAAACACATTATACAGGACTAGTACGATATATACCAATCAATCAAAGCCTTAATCCCATAACTCCATAAGTGGGGTCGGCTGTTCCCTAGAATAAGTCTACAAGATGTTAATCTAAAACCTCCCCACATAGAAGAAATATTGAAATATACAGCTTAATTCCATTTGTCAATGTCACCAGTTTACATCATTAATCACAGGAAAGTAGGAAACACAACAGGAATTCGAAACATATAGTATCATGCTGAAGCAGAAACTATCAAATCATATTATTCAATCTGAGTAATCATCCCAAACACATTATACAGGACTAGTACTCTAGTAGGATATACACCAATCAATCCATCAAAGCCTTAATCCCATAACTCCATAAGTAGAGTTGGCTACATGAACCAAAAGTACGATATATACCGATTTACAAAAAATCCGAGCATGAATTGGGAATTACCTAGTATTCCGTATAACAATTACACACTAATTACAAAGAAATTCAACATTACAGAAAAAACCCACCAAAAAAAAAAAAAAAAAAAAAACAAGAACCCTTACAAACACATTGTTCTGTTTCACATTTCTTTCAATTACAGTTTTCTCGAATCAAGATTACATAAAATTGACATGTATATTAATTAAATCACAATATTCATAAAATTCACCAAATCTTGCATATATAAATCATCATCAGCACAAAATTATAGAGCAATTAAAGAAAAAAAAGCTATAAATCTTCAAATTTTAAAATAAATTGCTCACATTAAAATTAAAATTAAATTCGAGCCTGTTAATTGAATTCGCATTAGGGTTAAATCGAAGAATTCTTGACTCCAAAAATCATCATCAATCAAAAATTTTGGTTTCAATTGAGGAGAAAGAAAAGCTAAAGTGTAACGCAGTATTTCTGACAATTTATGTCTTTATATATGACCTTCAATGGACCCCACATAAACCCCAAAAAAATAAAAAAATAAAATTTGCAAATTAAAAAAAATAAATTTATTTTCCTTTTTTTTTTAATACCTCGGAAAAAGAAAAGAAAAGAAAAATAAAAGAAAGACGTCGATAGTTTCCGATCTTTCTCACTTTCTCTCCTCTTTCGATGTTTGATCTCACTCATCTTTGAACAACTGGAAATTTCAATCACTCGAATTTTCTAGCTCGAATTGGATAAAAAGGTTTGATTTCATCAAGTTTATTCAATAATTTTGAGTTTCAATTTACTATAAATTTTTTAATTTTATTTATTTATTTATTTATTTATTTATTTATTTTTTTTGTGGGTAGATTAGGAGTATGAATTTTAATAGACATTTTCATTTTATGCGAGTAAATTTTGATTTTCATAGCTTAAATGTTGATATATGATACTTAGTTTATGATTTGATATATTTTTTATTTATGTTAGTTGAAAATTAGTCGATCTGTTGTTCTTAATTTGTTGTTGAATTATGTAATTTGATTGAAATTTGTAGTTTATTGTGTTGATTTTGATTGATAATCGGAAGTATTGATTGATGTAATGTGAACAGATGTCAGTTCCTCGATCTATGGATAAATCAAGTGCTCTTGAATACATTAACCAGATGTTTCCTACAGGTAATTTCTGTTGCTTTTCTTCTGTTTACCTACATTGGTTGAATTGTATTAGGAATTTGTAGTTCCGTTGATTCGAGTCGTTGAAGTTGGAGTTTGATACATTTATCAGTGTTATTTGGAAAGGGATTGGTGAAATTGTAGTTCAGAACTTCTTATAATTTTGCATTTGTTTGAATGATTGCTGATTGTGTGATAATATTGGTATATCAGAGGCATCGTTATCTGGAGTTGAGCCTCTAATGCAAAAGATTCATGGTGAAATCCGTCGAGTGGATGCTTCCATACTGGGAGCTGTTCGACAGCAGGTAAGGTTTATTGGTCCTTGCGTTATTTGCATTCTACAGTTTTGATGGAAGTATTGATGGATTTTTTATTTATTTTTTACTGGTATGAGTGGTATCTTCACTTTGGTTTCATTTGGTTGGGTGGGAAGCATTTTTGACTGAAATGATGAATTTGATATATGCGGTTTGTAAAGGGGTGGGAAGTAGTTGTACAAGCGGAGATAGTTCCCCAAGGGTGGAAAACATTTTTACCTTTTGCTAGGAGGGAATGGCACATTTATTTTATCATCCCTTGGCAGTAATCCTCGTTTCCAAACTCACTCTCAGTAAACATTACTCTCATATTTTGGATTGGATGGTGATGTATAAATCTTTTTATTTTATTTTATTTTGTAGTAGAATGAGTTTGTTGTGATTTTGTTAAATGAGGCTCTGTTGAGTTCAATTTCGTTTATAGAAGGTTGTTTAAGGAGGTTGAGTGTAGGAAGAGTATTTTTGTTAATAGTCTTCATGAGAACCATGGGCGTTAAATTTTGGGAAAATAGTGTTCAGACGAGGTGACTGAAGATTGCAAAAGGTTGAAGAGTGTAGGAAGAGTATTCTTGTTAATAGGCTTCATGAGAACCATGGGCGTTAAATTTTGGGAAAATAGTGTTCAGACGAGGTGACTGAAGACTGCAAAAGGTTGAAGAGTGTAGGAGGTTGAGTGTAGTAAGAGTATTCTTGTTAATAGGCTTGATGAGAGCCGTGAGTGTTAAATTTTTGGAAACTAGTGTTCAGACAAGTTGACTTAAGATTGCACAAGGTTGGAGAAGGATGGACTGTAATTGATATAGAGGTAAAGTGAGCAATGCAGCTAGGTAAAAATGAATACCTATAGTTTATAAATTTGATATTCTAGATGGATTTTGATTTAGGAGCTTGATCTTCAGCCACGTACAAAACTGGGTAGATCAAACGATGAACTGCATACAAGTTTAAAAGACTACTATTTGTATTTAAAGAACTCCATTGCAGGCTTCTTTCTATCAGGCTTGGTGTGGTTTTGTTAAAGTTGGCGCGTATTAATTTAGGGTGCATAATTGATGTGCATGACCTTGTAGCGGGCTAGAGTCAAAATAAAGTTATGTGAAAGAAGAGTGGGGGCAGTTTAGACCAAGCAATCAACTTTTAATAGAATTTTGAATACATAATATTTTTCTTATGAAGGGTACATGCCTTATTGGAGTTCATAGGATTTATTGGAGGGTTGAAATCTTGGTTGATGTCACAATGATGGTTGTGGAACCACATTTACAGGCAATGCAAATGGCTTGCGGCCATCGTGCCTAATACTATGTCACAGTATGCTTCAAAATCACCCTAGATTTAACATCGTGATATATTTTAAGATAGAAGATGGTCCTTGCAAAATGAGTTGGAAAAGTGGTTGAGAGAAGTTGTGTCTACTAGACACGATCCTTCACACATTGGTGTAAGAATCTGATATTGAATATTTGTGTCATGTGTTCCCCATGTAGTCATTATTTATACTAATTTTTTTTATCATTACAACTTTTTGTTTTTAAATCTTTTTGGGGGTGGGAAAAATGTTTCTTTTTGTTCCTCATCCTCATTGATGCCAATTATGCTGGCAGGGTGGAAGCCGGGCATATCTTTGCCCAGAATGCGCTTAATATTTTATTATTTATTATTTTTTTATTTTTTGTAAAAATAAATACTCCTTCCGTCCCATTATTAAGTGTTCGTTTCTTATATTTCACGGGTTTTAATGAAATTGAAGGAAGTATAAAAAAAACATTTGTGAAGTACATTGGGAATAATTATATAGAGTACAATATTTTGTTTCCAGTGAGAACAATGAAAAAGCATGTGTGAAGGGTATTTAGGGAAGTTTAGTATGTTAAAAGGTATAAAGTGGGGGTATCTAGGTAATTATAAAGCATAAAAAAAAAATCAGATGTGAAATTTATTGATATGGGCTTTTCAAAGGCATTTGGTGAGACAGTGACTGGTGCAAAACTGTTGTATGATCATTTTAAGGGATTTCATGAGGTGAAGAGAAAAAAGCTCATTAGTATTGAGCTGGTGTGAGCAGGCTAGACTTAGCTCATATACAACTTATGAGGAAATGTCCTTAATCTGAAACCAAAGAACTCAAGAATTTATGTGCCATTTCTCAAGTAGGGTGCCTTTTTACAGTTCTTGAACAGTTGAACCTATGTATTTTGGAATCTTCAATTCTTCTAAAACGTGTTTACCTTTTGAGATTCAAATTGTGGCCTTCTTAGTTTAGACCTAATTTTCCTCTTACGCAGTCTCTTTCCATTTTTGGTTGTTGGTTTCAGCAAAGCTTGATTATAATTTCTGTACTAGTAGTGTTCTAGTGTTTAAGGTTTGTTTTGGAAAATGCTACTTGGAAAGGAGTATTAATGAGCATGGTCCTGGACCAAGGCTCCCTTCCCTCACAATATGGGGGTTACTAAGTTATCAGGAGGGTACTAGTTATTGTGAGAGGTGGGAGCACTGGTTCAGGATCATGAAATAAGCTGTGAAAACTTTTCTACTAGCATCAAATCTTCCACTCTCTAGGGTGAAGCTGTGTGTTTTTGAACTCTTAATTTTTGATTGCTAACTTCCTGTAGTTTAGAGTAATTCAGGTACCAAGGCCAAAGAAGATCTTGCTGCTGCTACGCGTGCAGTGGAGGTTTGTACTCCCAATATATGGACTCATATTACTTGACTTTTTACTTAATATATAATGACTGATTGGCTCTAATTCTCTTCTGGATGATTATCCGGAATTGATTGTACCCTAATTTCTGTTCCACTAATTGATTGTTCTGATTGGATTAATTGATTGATCAATTTTAAACAGGAACTCATGTACAAGATACGGGAGATAAAAAATAAGGCTGAACAAAGTGAGACAATGGTTCAGGAGATTTGTCGTGACATAAAGAAGCTCGATTTTGCAAAGAAGCACATAACAACTACTATTACAGCACTTCATCGTCTTACCATGTTAGGTTGGTTTTTTTTTCCTTTTTATTTTCATTGATCTTAGCGTCTCACACATTTAGCATCCAGGACCATTAACTATCTGGTCTTTGCACTTGGAAAAAAAACAGATTTATTGCTTTCTTTTCATATTGTTTTTTGTCTAATTGAGGATCATATAAAGACAATGTACCCACAAGAAAAATTCGTGATAAGTATTTTCCACCTTCACACTTAACTGCAAAACTAATCCAAAGAATCAAATTAGATACTATAACGATTGTATAATCTGTCAAAGATCAAGAGCCTACCATGATACTATCATTCACATATCATACAATACAAACTTTCATTGGTTTTGTTCTATGTTTGAGATGATTTAATGGTTTTATATCTGTAAGTTGCTACTCTTAGAAATGCAGGATTCATGTTTTATTAATCTCTATGTTTTTCATTGTTGTGGTAATACATGAACAATACAATGAACAAACAAGAGTTCCTAGTACTTTGCTCTAGATATTCTTATTAGATTCAACATATTTGTTGTTGCAATGTTTTAACTCATATTCTTTTCAGACAACGCTGCATTAATTTGTATTTGGTGACACATCATGAAGATAAATAAACCCCTCTTGGTTAAAAGTAGTTTTGAATTATGGACCTTTGTTTTTCCTTTTGAATCAAACATGTGTACATAGCAAGCTTTTTTTTTTTTTTTTTTTTTTTTTTTTTTTTTTTTTTTCCCCTTTCTTTTTGGACTTTTTTGGGGAGGGGGTTGGGGTATATGTTACGGCCTTGGTTATTATATATTGTTCTTCTTACATGGAATATGTTGTTAGTGAACACATTTCTGGAGGAACTTTCATATCTTCTAAGTATAGCTATCAAAATCCCAATTTAAACCTTAGAATCTTACGATTTTATGATTTAGGTATGTCCATACAATCCATTTACGATTATACGTTATTTTACACATTTCTCTTTAACCAGAGAAAACCTTACAAATTTAAAACATGCCTACAAAGTTATTTATAAATATATATTGTCAATTATTGGTTGCTTAATGGGCAAACAAGTATATTCTATGAATAATTAGGTTTTTAATTTATAATTTAAATATATTCAGTGACATTTGGATATGATGTCTTGATTATGCAATATGCATGTACGTAAGATTCTACGATTCGATTCTGAGAGCCTTTCCGATTCAAAGTAGAATCTTGATTTTGATAACTTTGCTTCTAAGTCCTTAAAATAAATTGTTCCCATAGATGAAAACACCAAGGCTTCTATATTTTTATTTGGATAGTCTGAAGACTATAGATTCTGACCTCCACAAACTTGCCAATTGCTACACATGTTTTGCTGTTTTCTGGGATGTCATGCTTTATGACTTCATTCACTGTTTCACTCTTATGGCTCTAACAAAGGTATAATTGCTTTAATATCCAATTCATGTAGTTGATGTAGAAAATTTGTATAATATCGCATGGTAATCAGTCAATCAGATTTTTATACTCTATTTCTTAGGTGAGAATAAAGCATGCTAACATAATGTCTTTTAAATGCTTTGGCAGTATCTGCTGTTGAGCAACTTCAAGTGATGGCTTCAAAAAGACAATATAAGGAGGCAGCTGCTCAATTGGAGGTACCAAGCTGCCAGTGGGCAAGCGTTTTTCTTCTATTTAGGAGGTCAATAATTTTTTAAGCTTTTACATTTTTTCCCCTATCTCCTTGGAGGATCCATGGTCCTTCCCACCCGTACATACATTCCTTGTATATATTTTTGGGATTCAGATTTACTATTTGACCTGAATTATGGAAAATATATCATTTCTTTTTTGTTTGGCTGTATTGTTAGCAGATGAATCTTCTCTGTATAGTCTGAACATATTATGTGGTTTTTCCATTGTACGTCTACTTATTGTCTGAAGACTCCAATGTTGCTGAAGGATATACATGCTTTAATGGCATAACTTGCCTCTAATAACACAAAAATTTTAAGTGATTTTTTATGGTTGTGAGGTGTTTGAGTCAACGTTTCTCTCGTGTTCCTTGTCTTATAGGTTCCGTATTTTCTGTTTGATCATTTATTCCTTGTCCCACACATTCCTTATCTTAGTGTGGATGATGTTATCTCTTGATTTGTTTCAGGCAGTAAATCAGTTATGCAGTCATTTTGAAGCCTATAGGGATGTCCCTAAAATAACAGAATTGCGAGAGAAGTTCAAGAATATTAAACAAATCTTGAAGTCTCATGTTTTTTCTGACTTCTCAAGGTACTGCTGGAATTTTTTTCCTTTTTTCATGATATGTGGAGTTGGACTATAATTTATTTGGGAGGTGATAAGGGAAAGAGACTGGTTTCCCTCTTCGTACAATTTGAAGTCCTTCAAAATAATATGTGTTGTACACATTGATCATGAATAAATCCTTATCTGGATCTAGATATATCTGCCTAGATAGAAATTTTACTTTAGCTTGACTATGGAATATGGATTTTAGATTTATTTTTTGGACATGTATATTTGAACTTTGAGAATGATTATAACTTGAATTTGTAAGATGAGAAAACTCACAACTTTTAATGAGGGGTGGTTGATGGTTTGCAAAATCTCAACACATGTTGAATCTGTAAGAATTGGTTTCATTGATGTTGGTTCATTGTATACAGGTATTATTTTATATTGTATATATTATCTCATTTGTTTATTATGTCTTGCAATTTCAGCCTGGGTACTGGGAAAGAGACAGAAGAAACTAATTTACTGCAGCAGCTATCAGATGCTTGTTTGGTGGTTGATGCATTGGAGCCTTCTGTACGAGAAGAACTTGTTAAAATATTCTGCAACAGGGAACTTACTTCCTATAGACAAATTTTCGAAGGAGCTGGTAAGTATCCTTCACTTTTGTCCCTTTATTTTTGATGTAGCCCTTTCTGCATCAACAAAATGATTTGCTCTTTGATTTCTGTAAAAATTGTCGTAAATATTGCTTATTTCTATTTATATATATATTTTAAATTAGAACTTGCAAAGTTGGATAAAACGGAAAGGAGATATGCTTGGATCAAGCGTCGGTTGAGAACAAATGAGGAGATATGGAAAATTTTCCCTTCTTCATGGCATGTCCCTTATTTATTATGCATTCAATTCTGCAAGCTCACGAGGTCAGTGGTCTTGGCCTCTTAAAATTTTAAACTCTATGCATTCAGTAAAATAATTATTTATTCTAGCCAGTGTCACATGTGCTTTTAATTATCACCAATACCTGTATGGTCTTCTTATTTTGGAAATATATGGGTCGATGGATTGACAACATCTAACTGGCTTTTCCTGCTGGCATGCTTTATTTAGTGGATTTTTGATAGTAATTGATTGCTTGACATTCTACCTTTTCGTTTGGACATGTTGTTCTACTTCAATAAGATGCTGTTGAGCATCAAATGTTTAGTTTGATATATGATTTAATGATTTATTCCTATAGGATTAGGCATTGGCTTCTATCTTTTATTTGCTAGTCCACTTACTTACCTCATCGTCATCATATATATATATATAAAAAAAAAAAAAAAAAAAAAGAAAACTGTCATGCATACTTATCCTATATAAATATCTTGTAAAGTGATATTATTTTTCTTTACATTTTTTTGTAACAGAACACAACTTGAGGAAATACTTGATAACATGAAGGAGAAACCAGATGTGGGGACACTGCTGCTGGTAAGGGGTGGATGCTTGATGATTTTCTAATACCTAAATTGTTTCTATATTCAGAAGTGGTCTTATTTCTTATTACCTCTAATTTTGTTCCAACTACTGAGTACTTAATATCATTAGAAATCTTTTGACATTCCCTGGCAATACAGCTTAGCAACACTTTGGAGACTGGTCTGCATGCCTATCTTGGGTTGCTTAAGGACAATTCGACTATGCTCATATGAGTCATACACTCCTTTACCTCATAAAAAGATGAAAAATAATCAAAACCGCAAAATGAAGTTAGGAGGGCTTTTGCTGGCAAAAAAACTAATTTTTAAAGGGGAAAAGCTCTAGCTAAAAAGGGATTATTCACTTACAAAACCAAGCTATAGTTGACTTTGGTCTAACCCAAATCTATACAAATGACAAAATTTCTGTACAATGACACACAATAAAAGTGGGGAAATAAGAGTTCCTTGTCTAAGAAAGTAAGACTTTATTTTATTCCTGGAAGAAACTATAAGAGACCATCGAGGCCAATAAAAGAGGAAGGAAAGCCACTGTCTTAATCCAATTAATTGAATTAGGAAAAAGGCTGTAAAACACTTAACTTTTAATAGAGAAAGCATTCCTCAAATTTACTTTCACAAGTTATCTGGAAAGGCCCTTTTTTTTTTTTTGAACCATAATTCTTTAGACATCTTGACAAATAACTCTGCTCACATAATGCCTCTAACAAAAGCATCTTGATCCAAGGAGATGATGTTTAAAAGCACCAATTTCAATCTACTCAACATTTTGAATATTCATTTTAGGGTAATAGTATAACACGAGACAGGCCTGTAGTCCTCAACACAAACAGTATGTTGTACTTGGTAATGAAATTCATAGAAGTGTCAGTTATTGCCTTTAACAGCTTCCTAGTTTATCATTGTCAATGTATCTTAAAAACCATGTTCTTATTAATGGAGAAGAGCTCTTAATAGTTAACACCCTCTTTTGTGAAAGCAATAAGCAAGACAGATTGGATGTCATAATTGATTATGTAGCCTCTTCTCTCTTCACCCTTTCCAACCACTCAACATACTATTGCAGAAAACATCAGTTACCTTATTGGAATCAGGCACTATATTTAATCACCACTATGTGCTATCCAGCCCTGAATTAATAGGATTCATAATCTTTATAATTCTTATGCTTCCATAAAAGAATGTAATATGTAAATCTCCATCTTGAAACCCATGTGAACCTTCAAATATATTTGAGAAGCTTCAAACTCAGTGTAGAGTCTGTGGACCAGCTTAGAAATCATAGGAAATATTATGGAATATAACCCGACATCTGCACAATCTATATTGGAATGTCCTTATTCAACTTTTTCAGAACGGGCTTTGACCCATGAGCTTAGTTAAATGCCTATACATTGGAGCCTATTAAATAGGATTCCCAACTGATTCTAATAACATCAAGGTTGGATCTTCACCCTCTTTCTGCTACAAAATAATCTATACCAAAATGTCATGTACAGCTACAGAAGCTTATGGGATGTGAGTTCCCTTATGCCCATGGTTTTCTGTCAATATGGCATGATTTTGGTAGAATTTCAAATGGCTGAAAGCCTGATAGCTTGAGGTTCTGTCTATTTCAAATCTTTTATTCTCCTGAGATTTTTATATTCCATTTTCCATATTGTATGCACATTGCTTTCTTTTCTGTTGCTCAATTCGCTCTTGTAAAATTTGATAGGCGCTTCAGCGAACTTTGGAGTTTGAAGAAGAACTGGCAGAGAAATTTGGAGGAAGTTCACCAGCTAAAGAGACTAATCATGACACTGATGACACAGAAAGAGGGCCCAATTTCAGTCAAGCTGTATCAGACATCAAAAAGAAATATGAAAAGAAGCTCGCTGCTAATCAAGGCAGTGGAACTGATGTATGTATTCGGATATAGTGTATTAATTATAAACTCAATTGGAATGTTTGTTCCCCCCTCCCTCCTCTCAAAAAAAAAAAAAAAAAAAAAAACCTTCCCTTCCTGATTTGCTGTCATTGGCTTTTGGATTTGTTATTACAGGAAACCGACGGTCTTAAAGAATTTTCTGTGCCTGGAGCTGGGGTAAACATTTTCAACTTCTCTTTTCATTGTTTTTGACAAAAAAGTTTAGAGCAAGCTTGACTACCCTTTTTGTGAGTTAGTTCAGGAACACTAGCACTCACCTATTATTGTATTTCACTATTTTGTCTCTTTTAAGTTACTGCATTCTATTAAGGAGGAGCTATTGTTAGGATTTGTGGGTAGGTGCACCTATATCTGAATCGATTAACTTTTTATTTGGTTTTTGATGCCTTAAATTGTTTATGTTGGCTGTTCTGTTTACTGGTCGAACAAGAAACGTTATCTAGTAAACCACTAATATTTATAATAATTATATACAAATTATTACTCTGACTTACTCTTGTGCTTGGCATGGAGATGAAAAGTAGTAACAAATGTAGTAATGTTGTATAAAATATTTGGAATTTGGTAGAAAGAGAAGGGGTCAAACAAGAGTAGTAACAAACATTTATTACAATACAACCAAACTATATACTCCCTCCATTCTTTTATGTTCTACTCAGTTAAACTATATACTCCCTCCATTCTTTTATGTTCTACTCAGTTTTTAGAAAATATATGAATGAGCGAGTTTATGATTCACTGAAATAAAGTAAGAGAGGGTAAAAAGGTGGGTGGGTGTAAGAAAATGATGAATAAAGTAAGAGTTAGTGACTTAGTGTGTGGAAAGGTGTAATTATTGTGGGGTAAAAGGGGTAAGATGGTAAAGGGGGTAGGCTTAAAATAAAATAAAGCAAAGTGAGTAGAACAAAAAAGAACGCGCTAAAATGGGATGTGAGTAGAACAAAAAAGAATGGGATGAGTATAAATTTACTTTCTTATTTTGCTCACATTCATAATTTTAACTTCTACAATTTGGGCCTTGGTTGAATTTACCATGGGTTTATTTATTAGTTCCGCTTTTTAAATTTAGTTTTTATTTTATTTATTTATTTATTATTTTTTTTTCCAGTGCGCCTTGATCTTTTTTTATCATTGATTTGAAATTGACCTGATAAGGGTAACTTAACTCCTCAATTGATGAATTTGCAGTTCAATTTCCGTGGAATCATCTCATCTTGCTTTGAACCTCATCTAAACGTGTATGTAGAATTGGAAGAAAAAACACTGATGGATCATCTGGAGAAACTTGTTCAGGTATTATATTAAAATTCATGCCTTCCATTTCCCTTCCACACCCCTGTATATGTTGAAAACTTGAAATGGTATTTATTTTCCTGTGGACACTGTAGGAAGAAACTTGGGATACCGAAGAAGGAAGCCAGACTAATATCTTATCCAGTAGCATGCAGGTACATATAAGTTCTTTGTTCATATATATTCTTGTGAACTTGTTTATTTCGATTGGAATTAGTTTGATAAATTGTATTTAACTGACTTAATAAACTGTTGCACTTAATACTTATTGTGAAGTAACAAATGACTGCTGCATATTGGATTAAAAATTTAAAACAAAATTTCTGTTATCATAACATCCAGCCACTTCCCCCTCTTTAGGGCTGATGCTTTGGGACAGTGTTAATGTATTTGCTGTTTAAGATTGAGTTTGAGAACTCAATTCGCTACCTAATTTTATTAAAATAAGCCAACCACTCATACATATTAATTTGTCTTTTTTCGGATTGCAATCCATGGGGGGATTAGTGAATTAAGAAACACTTTTTTATATTAAAATGAGCCAACCACTCATATGTATAAATTTGTCTTTTTCGGATTGCAATCCATGGGGGGATTAGTGAATTAAGAAACACTTTTTTAGGGAAATGTGTGTGTGGGGTGGGGGTGGGTGTGTGTTTTTTTAACATCTGCAAAACCATGTAGGTGATCTAGGCTAGTTAACATATACAATTGCCAGTTAATGGTTTGCATAAAATGTTCTTTTAAATGTGTTAATGACAACCTTTTCAACATGCAACTAGTAGTTTATGGTATTAATGTTACAATACGGAGTACTAATTAATTTTAGTCTTTATTGAGTTTCCTAAGCAAGAATGATATTCCAAGTTTCAACCTTTTGTACCATTTGTTATATTTAGGCTCTCCTTTCCTTAACTTATTTTTTGCTAAATGAAACATAAAAATCAATCAGTCAAAGCCTTAATCCCATAAGTGGGGAAATGGAACAAAAAAAGAATAAAATAAAATGAAACTGAACATAACTTTCTTTGCTGAATTAACTTGTTTTAACTTGCTGAAAATTTATTTATTTAGTTGAGGAGAACCGAAAAATAGTCATCATTAGTGGTTGAACTTAATCTTGTTTCTATTTTACTTGAAAGTATTCAACCTTTTGTAATAAGAAGTATATAGCAACAATTTTGGGAATTGATGAATTTTACTTTTAATTATTGCACGTGACTACTTGAATACTACCTCAGTTCCTAAATGATTGTTGCAGTTGCAACTTGTAACAGAAACCAGTAAGAATAGGATAGAGTGAGTGTTAAAAGTGGGCTTTGTGTAAGAAAATGAGAGAGTATTGTGAGGTTTATATAAAAATAGTAAGAAAGAGAGTGAAGTAAGCGAGGTATTTGCAGAATTTTTTTGATAGAATATTAAAGCAAAAGTGTAACGAGCAAACAAGAACGGATGAGAGTAGAAAGCGTAACCAACAAAAAGGAATAAAGGATTTTTGTACAAGAGTGAAGTTGTTTAAGGGGTCTTTCCTGTTTTAATAGCATCCAAGGATTTTTTTTTCTTTTTCTTTGTTGTGTAATTTTTTAATCTTATTTGGTTCCACTTTACTTGTGTTAAGCTTTTATTTTTTTGTGTCATTATTTTTTACTTTTTATTTTGAGAAATTCTCTTTGGTAACACTAAATTTTTTAATTTTCTCTTTGGTAAATTGTAAAATAAACTATTATCTTTGGTAAACTTGTATTGTTGATATTAAGTTATATATAACATTAATGATGATTTTTTTAATGAATCTTTAACTATAGTTAGATATTTTTATTTATTAACAATTAAAATAAAGATAAAACCTATAATTCAAATATTTTTTTTAACAAACTTTTTTTTTTAATAAAAGAAAAAACCCCTTCCCACCAGCCATCTCCCTCCACGCCAGCAGCGCCGGCGCCTCTCCCGTGCCGGCGGCCAGCCCTTACCCTGGCCGGCGCACCTGCCTCCCCCATCTTTCTCTCTCCATTATTTTCCCCTTTCTCTTTCCTATTTTCCATAAATCCTTCTTAATTAACCTTCGACTCAATACTACCTACCGAAACCCTTATTTCTTTGGTTGGATAACCTTGGATTGTTGACAGATTCTTTGATATAATCTTGAGTGAGGACAAGGACGTAAGGTCGGCAAAGGGAATTCAGAGGGAGGAGGTAGAAAATTAAAACGAATTACCGCATTTTTTGTCGTCGATAGATGGTTTTGCGGGGGAGTGGGAGGAGGGATGGGAATACGGGGAAAGGAGTGAGCGGTCACCGGCAGAGGAAGGGTGGGGGTCACCGGCGGAGGTGGGGGAGCTGGCACCGCCAGCCAGGGGAGGGGGGGTAACTAGTCAGGTGGTGGCTGCTTTGGGTGATGGTTTGGTTTTTTTTTTTTTTCAAAATTATTTCTAAAATAATTTTATCATTTAAAAACTAAATAATTAACCATGGTTAAGATTTTTATTAAATTTAGCTATTATCTTTGGTAACAAAAAATTCAATGTTACCAATGATAATAACTTTTTAGCCAATTTACCATGGAGAAAAATGAAAAATTGGATGTTACCAAAAAGAATTTCCCTTTTATCTTTTATTATTGTTAACTAACTCAGCTGTGTTGTGATATCTAGGTCTTTCTGATAATCAGACGGAGCTTGAAGAGATGCAGTGCTTTGACAAAGAACCAGACATTATTTAATCTGTTTAAGGTGCCTTTCTTCACTTATCACTGAAGAGAATGGATGTCTTGCCATGCTTTACACCTGTTTTCTTTTTGTGAATGCTTTTGTTTACCAAAGAGATATACATAGTTATGCTGTGCCATAGTAAAATAATAGTTCTGCTAGGGGATTTGTTGAGATTGAACGAGCAGCTTGGCTTAAAACAGACCCTTAGCTAGTTGAGGAAACAGACCCTTAGCTTGTCGTGGTCAGAAGAAAAAAAAATCTAGACTCTCTCAGCTTGTAGCTTGATTTGTGTTAAAGTTTAAAAACTGAAGCCAAGTAAAGACTACTTTTGGCTACAACATTCATGTTGATATGTTTTGGAAGTTACACTATGAGATCTTTTTGAATCATTTCATCTGAAATCTAAACTATCACTCATGAGTCTTATATCATAAATCGTTAATTCTACGTGATGCATGTCTGTCAGAAATATTGTAAAGCTTTAATTCTACGTTATATGTATTAATGTATATGATGAAGAATGAGTGTCTATTTTTGCTTTCATATTTTTGTTGGCTATTGCAAATTTCTATGGGTTATAGGAAGAGATTTAAATTGCAGGGAGAGTGGAACAATTAAACAAGCTGGGGGCGTTAATTGATAATGTGAACCGTCTTGTGCCCTGTTGACTTGTGGCCTTTGTTCATCTTGATATTGGTGTTTCGATTTTTTATACGTGTTGTGATCATCAAGTTGATGCATGCAACTAACAATTTTCTATAGTATTATTGTAGCAACTCGTTTCCCTTGGCTTGTAGCTGATTATATAATTGCTTTGTTAGTTTTAAGAGTTTTAATCATTAATAATTATTTGGAATTGATGTCATTTTGCTTTCTCTTACTAGGTGTTTCAAAAAATTCTTAAAGCATATGCAACTAAGTTGTTTGCCAGACTGCCAAAGGGCGGGACAGGAATTGTGGCTGCGGCCACTGGAACAGATGGACAGATTAAGGTCTGATCTTGTTTTCTTCAACTTCTTGTTTCTGGATTAATTTTTTTTCCATCGCAGCTGACTATAATTTTATTATTTTATTAAATTTATTTGGCTTTTCCGTGCTTTCTTTCACTTTTCAAACAGACATCTGAAAAAGATGAAAGGATGATCTGCTATATTGTGAACACTGCTGAATACTGTCATAAAACGGTGAGTTCGCTTCAGCCAACCTTTGGATGTTCATGGGTTGATATCTTGAATTTTTTGCCTGACAGAAGCAGTTGCACCAATAATTTTGCTGCCTTTCTATAAGATCTTAACTGTCAAAAGCTGTTAAGTTAGATATTTGGAAGCTGATTAAAGAGTTTTGCAATGCGTTTGACTTCTGTTCAATCTGCTGACCCTGTTTTCACAAAGAGAGCCAAATCAATGAGCTATCTTGTCCAAATTATGATTGAATCTAGGTTCATAATGAGCTTTTTATTAACAGCTTAATGCTTCATCTCTTGGTTAACATTATGAATATTGTTGCAGTCAGTTTTTTTTCACTATTTTCTGCTAAGTTTAAATGGTCACCTTAGGAAGAACTTTGGTGATCCTCTTGATAGTAGATTAAAACATGCTTTTGTTACTAAAAACTTTTGTTAATAAAGGACTTTGGTGATCCTAGTGTTAATACTGCTAAGTTCAAATGTAGTGTTAATATAATAAATTTTTTTGTTTACAGTATCATAAAGGAGAGTAATTGTTCATGTTTGTCAGAGAAAGAATTCTCCTTTTCACTAGTCTATTATTATGAGACTTGAGTTCATTTTATTGTCTAAGAGTCTGAATTTATGCTTTTGTATGAGGATAGACCTTGACATTTTTAATTAGTTGTTTCTGCTCTATATACCTTCATTCTCTCTTTCTCTCTGCACTAGTGACATTTTTAATTAGTTGTTTCCGCTTAATATTCTTCATGTTCATGATTGAAGTCTGTAGTTATCAGCTCCATACTGCATTTAGAAGTCTCAAGATACGAGATTTAAATGTATTCAAGACTACAAGTAGAATATCCTGGACCTCAATGTAATAGTTAAGAAATTCCCTTGTGATATCTTGATAGTCTAATCTGTTTCTTTTTTGTTGATAGTCAGGTGAATTGGCTGAAAATATAGCTAAGGTTATTGAACCCGTATTTGCAGATAAAGTTGATATGTCAGAAGTACAGGTAAATTTGTATGCTGATTATTATTATATTAGTTGCAAGACTTCTCCATGTCATATCTTTAATAATATGCAATCAAGCAGGATGAATATTCAGCAGTAATTACAAAATCATTGATAACACTGGTGCAAGGTTTGGAAACTAAATTTGATATTGAAATGGCTGCTATGACGCGTGTTTTATGGGCAACTCTTGAAAGTGTTGGCGACCAATCAGAGTAAAATTTAGTTCCTTTTGATTTGTAAATTGATGTTATTGGCTTATTGTTGTGAACTCAACATGTAATGTGCATCCTTTTCATGCAGGTATGTAAATGGAATAAATACAATAATTACAAGCAGTATACCTATACTTGGGACACTTCTGTCCCCAATTTACTTCCAGTTTTTCTTGGACAAGGTATATTAAGGAGATTAAGTTTGTCTGCTTGTTTCTATTTACTAATTCGTTCATCTATTTTGGTTTCATGAGCATTCTCATGCATAACTTGTTTGTGCTAATGTTAGTCAAGTAAGGACCCTGTTTTTCTTTTTCGCTCCAAAATTTTTGTTGTCAATAGTTTCTTGGATGGTTGAAATCAAGAAGGTGACTTTTAACTTCCTACTAGTTTGCAATTTCAAGGATAAATAATTTCAGTAATTGTATATAACTGTTACAGACTACATGAAGCTGAACATTCTACAGGAAGTTACACTTTCTGCGTTGCTGCCAACCAAACAACTGTATAGCTCCCAAGGCAAACAACTCTATAGTTTCTTACTTTTGAGGAAATTTTACTTTTTGTGCAATTTCATGTCAACTAATCAAGAACTTAATGTATAGTTTGGACTTTGGAGTTGCCTTTTGTTTATAATTTTATCTTTAATAGTTATAGAAATTATCGCCAGAATGGCTGTATCCTGTTTGTTTACTCTTTTGTTTTAAATTTCCTGTTTGTTTCCTGGATACCAAATTGCATAAACCTACTAGTCCGAACCTTTTTTTTTTCTCTAATTTTCCCCTTTTTTCTTTTCAGCTTGCTTCTTCACTTGGTCCCCGTTTCTACCAGAACATTTTTAAATGCAAGCAGATATCAGAAACTGGAGCCCAGCAGGTACTTGGTCAAAATAAGTGTAGATAATTTTCTTGATATTTCTTTGTGATTATTTGTTGAGATGATATCTCCACCAAATCTAGTATTAAAAAGATTTATGGTAAACTCTGATACAAAGTATTGGTAAAAGTTGAGCTGTATCTTAGCTCTTCCATTTCAGATCCTATACTGGTATCAGCTTTTGTGGATTTCAATTTTTTATTTTTATCCTGCAACTTTTTGTGTAACATACGTCATTATTCATGCTAATTATAAGAATGAGTGCATTATATAATGGTCTTGAAATAGTTTATTTGTTTATCCTATATCCTAGTATGTCTTTCTATTTTGTGTGGAGTAGCCAAGTAGATAAAATCTTAACGTCGACAACACAAACATAAAACTCACATGCTGTTCTATTGCAGATGCTCTTGGATACTCAAGCTGTGAAAACAATTCTTTTGGAGGTTCCTTCTCTTGCTAAACAAGTAAGTTATATACTTCACTAATGTGAGATTGTTAACTCCTAGTCTCCAACTATGATACTGCCTTTGCATCCACCGAGTTGTTTTGATTGGGATTCTGGTGGGCATTTATAAATTTCTGCAATAAGTAATCATGTTTAATCTTTGTATGGCAATCGGAATTGTGGTAATGCAATGCTATTTCCAAACTACCATGAAGCTGCATTTTGAGCAAATGAATACTACAAATTCAATTGAGGTCAACAGCTGAACTATGTGGGGCTTCTGTGCTCCTGATGTTTATATAGGGCTGTATAGGTTCATATTATTCTTAAATTATGCTTGTGTTCTTTCCATAATTTTGTTGGTTTTAAAACCAAATAGTAGTAAACTACTTAAAAATTTGACTGGTAGCTATTTTATGTGTGAACTTGTATCCATTTAGTTCCATTGGTATGATTTGTCAGTGGTCGTAAAATAAGCTGGAAATATTTTATTAAAGTACTTGCATCTGTTCCTGGTATCTGAGTTTGGTGCCGAGTCCCACAGCTGTAGCTCTATGTGATGATACTAATCCTTTTCATGATTGATATGTGCATAGACATCTGGTGCTGCTAACTACTCCAAATACGTTAGCCGTGAGATGAGTAAAGCAGAGGCTCTTTTGAAGGTGAGTAAAAGATAATGGTGATCCATATTTGAACACTGTTGCATCGGCTAACTGTCATTTTATTGGACAGGTTATATTGTCTCCTTTAGATTCCGTAGCAGATACTTATCGTGCTTTATTACCGGAAGGAACTACGTCAGAATTTCAGCGAATCCTGGAGCTCAAGGTTATATTTTGTTTTGTTTTGTTTTATTTCTTTGCCGAAAACTTTTTTTCCCTTATATTGTTGCTACAGCTTACTCTACTACCATGTTGTGTGTACGAGCTTCTCTTCCTCATGTCAATAGACAATAGCTTATCTTTCATGCTCTCTCAAACTACTAAACCGCTGCCACCCCATCCAGAGTTTGAGAATGGTAGTTTAACTCCCTTCTTACTTTCTTAGCTATAAATGGGAGCAGCAAATGATACATGGTTTGAGAGTAGAAGCTGTAGTATAGGCCTAGTGGTAATTCTTTTAAGATTAATACCAATGGGAATACCAAGTATTAATTGAAGTATGAAAACTAAAAACTATGTAGTTCAATTTTAGTGACTATTGCCATCCTGCCATATGTTATTTTCCCTGCTTATGTGTTTATTGGCGGCTCACTCTGAAACATGAGTTCTAATGGATTTATTCCTATGCTATTTCTTTCCCCTTTTCAGCTGCACTTTTCTTTTTAATGAATCTGGATTTGATGTCTGTTAAAATGCACTTTTAAATGCAGGGTCTTAAAAAAGCTGACCAGCAAACCATACTAGATGATTTTAACAAACATGGTCCAAGCATCAAGCATCCATCAATGGCCTCTGCTGTTACAATTGCCCCTGCTCTACCTGCAGTGCCAGCTATAAGCAGTCCTGCTACATCAGCTGTTGCTGCTTCTCGAGAGGATGTGCTTGCAAGAGCTGCTGCATTGGGTCGAGGAGCAGCCACTACTGGTTTCAAGAGATTCCTTGCACTAACTGAAGCAGCTAAGGACAGAAAGGATGGGCCTTTCAGAAAACTCTTTAATCCATGAGGATCTTATTATTGGTTGTGCAAAAGGAAAGTCATTTTTTGTCTCAGTTGTCTGTCCATCCTTCTCACTAATCAACTTATACGACCTCATCTCTTTTCCATTTTTGCCTGGAGGAACTCTAAGAAACCATCTTTATTAGCTTGCGGTTGGAGAGGAATGTTGATAATGTATATGCGGTACTTGTTGAATGTGGGTTGTTGATCAATTTTGTGTCCCAGCTGGTTTCTGTGGGTATTTGTTGGTAAAATGCGCTGTTATCTGTAAGTAATTTTGTTTAAATTGTATTAGAGAATTTAGTTTCTCGTGTATTTGATCTATATATCTTTTTTGAATAGATTTTCATATTAATTTTGCAAGTTTTGTACGCCTGAAATATCGTGTTAGGAGTTAATTTTGACAATAATAAACATGCAGCTCTCTTATAAGCTGAAGATGCTGAGTAACTGATTACAATGTCCAGAACGAGTTGCTCTATAAAAAGGTAATAATTCACCCCTTGAATATAAGGAGTCTCAAAAGTTTTAAAAACATTTGTAGTAAAAGAAAGTATATAAAAAAACTTTAAACGAACTAACCGATTATAATTGTTAAATCACCACGCGTTCCCTTCTCACTTCAGATTATTATTTTAGGATGTTACTTTATCTGTAATTCAATGTTATCCTAATGTTGTTTCTTTCATATATTGCGAGTTATTGCTTGTATTACACGGGCCAAAAAACTAGTTACTTTATCTTTGTGAGGTTATTCATTCTAAATAGTTACATTAGTTTAACTAGTTATACTCTTTCCCAAAAAAAAAAAAAAAAATTAACTAGTTATACCATGCTCTAAACTTAGCTTCATTCCTAAACTCTGTCTTTGTTTTTATTTTACTATTATATTGGTGGTTAAATTCGTAAAAACTTTCCAAACATTCATTCATATTCACTAAGTGAAACTACACAGTCACATACTTATTAAAACCCAACCCTAGCTAAATTTGTGAACACATTCATAGTCCAATTTGGTCAAAGAAACTAAAAAGAAGTTCCAAACTAAACTCGAAGTGTTGAAAAAAAAAAAACCTACTACTTTACCTTTATTGGCTCAATGAAAATCGATAAGTTCAAAATCCTGCATCGAAGAACATTTCCATGGAATTATCATCATCAAATCCTTCTTTTCTTTCAATGATCTTCAATGCATGCTGCCAACAATTGATAGGAAGATCCGATGCATAGCAAACACAGTTGTTTGTGCTGCGTTCCATTGGCTCCGTGTACATGAACCGAACAATAACATCGAAAGATGACTGAAACAATTCACAAAGATGAGATAATGATATGAAAGTTTCCACACAAAATAAACTACAAGCTAAGCTACTTAGACTAACTAGCCTGATAGCTTAGCTTTAATAAAATCTTTACAACATGATGAATGAATTAAAATGTTTACACTATCTGTACCAAATTACTTGCAACACTATGATTGAACACGCTTGATTTTATATGTTTGCACAATAAAAAGATCAAAGCGGAGTGTGTAAAAGTGCAATATCAAAACAACGACAGAGAGACTAGTTAAACGTAAGCTAAGTATAAATCCAACAACGAAGTAAATACCAATATTTCAGGTGGAGATGAAAATCGAATGCTATCTAGCTGAGGGAATAGCCAAAGTAAAGCATCCATGATCACTCCAAGTGGTGGTGGTGGTGACTCAATATAAGTCTTTTGTTTGAGTTGCTCTGGCGTTGGTGATCCAAAATAAGTTACTATTTTCAAATGCTTCACTTGATAAAGAGGAAAAAAATAGCTATGGTTTTGTCTCATTTCCATCAACATTGTTGATCCTTTTGGTTTTGATGGACAAATTGACAAACTCGACTAATGAATGTTTTGAGTCTTTGGTGAATAAAGGGTTCAAGCAAAGTTCGTTCCGGAGTAGGAACTTGGATGCGGAGTAGCATTCTCTAAATAGCCTCATGAAAATTTCACGTTCTAGTTTTAATTGTGAGCACTCAATAATATAAAGTCGGAAAGGAACTCAATGACTTATGTTATTAAAAAGACTACTGGAATAAAAGTTAGTTTTAAAAGATAATTTCTTAAAGAAAAGATAATTTATAAAAGTTCTATTTAGTCATCTATTTTTGAATAAAGATAATTATCGAAGATAATTATCTAGTTGTTTTAATATAAATAATAAATTTATCTTTTCAAATAAAATCTTTTTAAACAAACTTTTGATAATCTTTTTAAACAAATATTTGATAAAGTTAGCAAGCAGCGAAAATCTCTGATTATACGTTTTATCATATCTAATGTTTATCAAGTTGTTGAGATAGTGGATTAGTGAGATAAGGCTAGGAAACCTCCTTCATGATCACCATCTGTCAAGATAACTCCACAAGTTGTTAGTGGGATGTTGGCATGTGGACGTGATTATAGTGGAGGTTAATGACTAAGCCTTCTCTATAAATACTCATGCAAACTATCTCAGCAAAACATAACTCTTGAGCATAAAAATTCCAGTAGCCTTCTAATAACATAAAGAGAGTTATTATCCTTCTTATATTCTTGAGTGCAATAGGTATTTGTAATCACAGATTGTATTCAAGTACTTAGGGGTTGGGATTGTGAGTTTGTAAAGTGAGGTCAAGGAAGCTTCGTTGCTGAAGGCTTCTGTGAGAGTTGGGAACAAGTTCCTAGTTTGTGGAACTTGTTAACGGGTTTGAATCTTCACTTGTAAAGAGTTTGATTACATAGTGGAAATTTAGAAAAGCCTATATCTTCTCTCGTCATTATTTCATTTAGTTAAATTCCGCAAAAGTTTTTAGATTTCACCTCAAATACAATTCACCCCCACCTCTTGTATTAGCCAGTTAGACTTTCAGTTGGTATCAGAGCGGGAACTCAGAGCACGCAGGCAACCCTGTTGAGTAAGTTCCTGGGAAAATGGCTTACACAGAGGAAAAGGAATTCGGGAGTACATCCATTCAAAGGCCTCCATTCTTCAACGGCAAATATTATCCTTATTGGAAGGATAAGATGGAAATCTTCATCCAAGCAGAGAACTATCAGGTATGGCGGATTATACAAGTAGGAGATTACGAAATTACGAAAACGAATGCTAACAATGAGGTAATCCCTAAACCTATGGATGAATATGAAAAAACTGATTTCGAAAAATTAGAAATGAATGCTACCGCCAAAAAGTTTCTAATTTGGGGACTTGGACCCGATGAACATACTCGTGTCAAAGGGTGCAAATCCGCAAAGGAAATTTGGGATCTTCTGGAAGTTACACATGAAGGAACGTCAGATGTTAAACGTTCCAAAATAGATATTCTTTTATCTCAGTATGAGCGCTTTGAAATGGGAAACAAAGAATCCATTAAAGACATGTTTACTCGATTTAAAAGTATTACTAACGAACTAACGTGTCTTGGTAAGATAATTCCTATCGATGAGCAGGTCAGAAAGGTCTTAAGAAGTCTTCCAGACAATGACAGATGGAGAGCAAAGGTTGCAGCTGTGCAGGAATCAAAAGACTTCACCAAGTTCAATCTGGAACAGCTTGCGGGTTCCCTCATTACCCACGAGATCCAGTCGAACAATCGGACTCAGGAGACTGTCAAAAGTCAAGGGCTAGCACTAAAAGCTAATGAAGAATCCGATGAGAAATCTGACATTGACGAAGAAGAAGCTGCAATGTTGGTGAGAAGGCTGAAAAAATTCTACCGTAACAACAAGTTTTTAGACAAGAAGAAAGGATACAGTAAAAGAAATCAGGAATCCAAAGCCAAGTCTTCTTGTCACAAATGTGGAAGCACCAACCACTTCATCAAAGAGTGTCCATTATGGGAATCTGAGAAAGGCAAGGGAAAAGAAGCTGATCAAAACAGAAACTCCAAGCCTAACTTTTCTAAAACAAATTTCAGGAAAGCAATGATTTCCACGTGGGGAGAATCAAGTTCCGAAGAAGAGGAACAGGAACACACAGACGATGAAGTAGCCAATCTCTGTCTAATGGCAAAGCATGATGATGAGTTAGTCATTCAACCTAGTTATTTGAAATCTCTCTCAAAGGATAAATTAATCTCTTTATTGTTAGAAACCTTAGAAGAATATAAAGAATTATGTGCAAAACTAAGGCAAGCTGAAAAGGCAACTGGAATTTGTAAAGATCATGTTAAGTATATGAATAGCTTAAGAAATGATGTTCAAGGCAGATTCTTTGAATTGTTAGATAAAAATATTATGCTAAAAGAATCCCTTGAAAGAGTCAAGAGTGAGAATATTATACTGAATATTGAATTGACTCAATATAAAATGCTGTGTACTAACATTGATTCTTGCAGGTCTACTGAAGTTCCTTTAATCATGTTTAATAATGAACTAGAGCATGTTAAGAAAGAGATAAAGGATACTAATGATAAAAATGAAAAACTAGAAAAGGAACTAGAAATTGCAAGAAAAAGTAAAAATACAGCAAGCACGGGTGTTCCCAAGTGGGTAAAGGAAGCTCAGACAAAAAGAACAGAAGGTCTAGGCTATGTTCATAAGAAGAAGTCCACTGGAAAGAAAAAGAAATATGTGAACTTACCTAGTGAGACCGTTTGTTCTTTTTGTGGTAAAAAGGAACATCGCAGTGAAGAATGTACTAAGAAAGCAAATCAGTACAATAAGAATGTGAACTATGTTTGGCAGAAGAAAACTGATTTAAATATGTCAACACAGGAACCCATGAACGAAAGGGTTCCTGCTACTAACCCTTAATTTCTTTTGCAGGTCGCAGTGAGGGGGAACAACTAGTGGTACCTCGATAGCGGTTGTTCTAAGCACATGACAGGAGATGAATCTAGATTTCTCTCACTGACGGCCTATACAGGGGGAACGGTGACCTTTGGAGACAATAAGAAAGGCAACATTGTTGCTGTTGGCAAAGTAGGAAGGTCAAGTTCCCATGCAATTGACAATGTATTTTTAGTCGAGGGTTTGAAGCATAATCTACTCAGTATTTCTCAGTTTTGTGATAAAGGAAACTCTGTAAGCTTTTCTTCTGAAAAATGCAAAATCATCAACAATAACACTGGAAAAATCGTTTTGGAAGGAACTCGTAAAGGGAACACGTATACCGTGGACCTTAACAAAGTTCCAAAATACAATCTATCTTGTTTAAGTGTTATTGAGGATGATCCACTTCTATGGCATAAACGTTTTGGCCATGCTAGTCTTTCATTGCTTGACAAATTAAGGTCAAAGGACTTAGTAATCGGATTACCTTCTATCAAGTTCCTAAATGACAAAATTTGTGAAGCCTGCATCAAAGGAAAGCATGTTCGATCATCGTTTAAATCAAAGCAAATGGTAAGCACCACAAAACCATTGGAAATCATTCATATGGATTTGTGTGGCCCCGTTAGAATTCAAAGTAGAAGTGGAAAAAGATATGTCTTAGTTCTTGTGGATGATTATTCTAGATTTACATGGGTCATATTCTTACATAGTAAAGATGAAACTTTTGATATGTTTATGACTTTCTTGAAAAAGACACAAAAATCAATAGGTAATCAACTTATTCATATGAGAACTGATCATGGTACGGAATTCGAAAATTCCAAGTTTGATGAATTTTGCAGGAAACAGGGAATAAGTCACAATTTCTCAGCGCCAAGAACACCACAACAAAATGGTGTGGTTGAGAGGAAGAACCGAACATTGGAAGACATGGCAAGAACAATGCTAATAGCAAGTGGGCTTCCAAGGAATTTTTGGGCAGAAGCTGTCAACACAGCATGCTATATCATCAACCGAGCCATGCTCAGACCAATGTTAGACAAGACACCTTATAAACTGTTAAAAGGGAGAAAACCTAATATTGCTCATTTAAGAGCCTTTGGATGCAAATGCTTTGTTCACAATAATGATAAAAGAAATCTTGGAAAATTTGATGAAAGGAGTGATGAAGCAGTCTTTTTAGGATATGCATCTAATAGTAAAGCTTATAGAGTTTACAATAAGAGGACTATGTGTGTAGAAGAAAGTATACATGTGATTTTTGATGAAACTAATAATTATAATTGTGTACAGGAATATGCAGATGGAGATTTTGAAATTGGTCTCACTCGTTCAACAGACCAAGATGAAGAATTAACTCCCAGAAAGCAGCCTGTTCGAATTACTGAAAATGCTGAAAAGGAACCTACTGAAGTTCCAAAT